CTTTACATTACGTATCGTTAAGATAATTTACTATTACTCATCACGGTAGCAACATAAATAATAATGTAACACTATTATTTACAAACTCTCTCTCTCTCTCTCTCGCACGCACTCTTTCTCTATATCACTCTTTCTATTCTTCTTCTTTCTCTCTCTCTCTCTCTCTTTATTGCTGCCTCGCTGAATCGCGCGCGTTGCATGCGAATCTAGTTTGATGATCGACGATGCACCTCTCTCAATCGCGAGATGATCGCAGAATTCTTCGTTAACACTTTCCCAAGGAAATTACAAAAAGATTCATCCAGACTCATTTTTATCAATGTAAAACTTAATTAACTTTAATGTTTAACTCTTAGTACATATGATGCTTTTTTTCAGTTCCTTTGTTACACACGACAGATCGTTCGTGTCCCGTTAATTTTCATCATTTTTACAAGTATACACAACTTATTAAATAATTCTTATATATACTTTAATATTATTTTTAGAAAGTGTTTATAAAGTAGCGTACTAAAAAAAGGAAGGAAGAGACTATCATTTAGCCAAGTGCTCCTATTTCAGAGAAAACATAATACGCAGGACACAAATAGCTCAATCGTGTGTACTAAGGGTTAATTTACTCATCTAATCCTTAACACTAGAAGATAAAAGGTATCGAGTTAAACCGAGATTAAAATATTAACTTAGTAACTTACATTGATAGAAATGAGTTTATTCATCCTTAACGTGGACAAGAATCGAGTAAATAGCCACCCGTTCGATCGGAGAAGTGTTAAAATCGGTTGACGTCTACTCTCGTTGTACTTTTCGACGAGGATGTATGCTTTCTTTAATTCATTATCAAGCGTCAACAATATATACGTATCACAAATCGTCGCGCGCGATAATAGTGCATCGCTCTCGCGCCGCGAAGGCGATCCGGGGCGAAAGGAGAGGAGCTTCCGGTCGTGCCTTTCCGCGAAAGATCAGCGCGAAATCTTTCGCAGCTTCCTGAGGTATACACATATACACGGAGGACCTTACGAGGACAGATAATTTTAGAATTCGGAGAGCGCATCGTATTCTCCTGACGAAGTACCTCGATTCTCGAGGGCAGTGCATCGCGATCCGTCTCGCCCTGGTCCTGCCCTTCGAAAGCGATCCGCTCTTTCGATCGTTTCGCCTCTGAACGCGTCCGAGATGAGCTCGCACGAGATCGTCGATCATCGCAATATGACGCCGAAATGGAGACCGTCCGGCCGATCCGTTTCGCGTCGCTTTTCGTATTACATGTTCTATCTACTTTTCTCTTTTCCTGCGTCTACGTATTTACAGTGACGAAGGAAAAGAAAACTGCGCGTCATCGCCGTGGTCTCTTCATCGATAATCGTCTAAACTCACTTTTCTCCTTCGTTTTTGTTTTATATATATATGTATATCAAAACCATTTTCGCGTAGAAATACTGATCCCACTAAATGTCCCTCGCGGTGGTTAATTGATATCTAAATTTTCGGCTGACTGTCTTAGGCTCAGTTTCACCAATGTGGGATTAACTTTAATCTCGGTTCAATTTACTTTTTATCTTACAATTAGTCTAATTCTGAGCATTAGAAAAAGATATACAGTAAGTTAAACCGAGATTAAAGTTAATCTTACATTAATGGAACTGGTCTCGGTTGTACGACAATTTTTCCTTGTTTTCAAGTTACCTTTTTTTTTTGTTTTCAAGTCGTCGTTTCCCGCGAGAAAAAGAAGAGGAGACTGCGAGAGAAGGAAAGGCTTTTCGACGAGGGCAAATGCTGAATAATCCGCTTGTATTAAACTTCGGTGAGACATGAAAACGCATGTTTAACGCATTTGTTTGAGCGTTTATTATTAAGAATGAAGGTTCCGCAATATCATCCCTCGTTTGTATCGCATGTCTCATTACGTTGCGAAAGGTCAATGATAATTGATATCGCGTTTCACAAGGATTTGCATGAGCGGCTCGAGCCCATCATCAAGGCGAGAATTGCGAATCGCGAAGAAACGTGCGAGTGTGACGTCGACCAGTGGATCGTTGCTCTGCCTACGCTTCACTTTGGATCAATGAAAGCGTGCGAAACGCCCACAGCTAATTCGAATGAATGAATGAATGAATGAATGAATGAACGAACGATGGACGCATATTTCTAAACGATTAATCGCTGACGACTTCCGAGGAATATCTCCCAAGAAGAACTATCTTCGGACGTGCTTCGGATGTGCGTCGACATTAATTTAATCGGGGGAGGGGGTGGTTTTCTCGAGGTGCAGGATGAGATCAAAGAAATGCGAACAGATAATTATTGGCTGCGTTCAGGGCACATATATTACTCGTATAAATTTGTTCAAAATAAATTTCGGTCACAATTATTTCGTTTTTTTGCTAGAAAATAATAGAAATCTAGGAAATAATTAAATAATTCGAATCCATTTCGAATAATATATAGGAGAAAAAGCAGTTTTGCAATTGTTGTAAATATGATTAATTCTTGATCTTAATTCTTCATTCAATGTAAATGTATAAGGCCCGATTACACCAACGTTACTTTGATTTTAAGCAAGGATTAAAAATTCTGTTTTCTCTCTTTCGCTTTAAAACGAGAGGAGAGAATTTATAATCAAAGTAACATTGGTGCAACCGGCCTAAATCAATCATATTATTAAATTTTAATATTAGTACTAACTAAATATTTACTAAATATAAATATGTTTATATTTGGTACAAGAATTAATTTGACTATCACTTCTTTCATTAAGTAAATATTTATTTATTAAGTAAATTTTAATCAATACTATTGTAAAAAATATTAAAATTTAGAGAATCTTTTTTTGCGGTACGCAACAAATTTTCAAAGCCGTTTTTCGTGCTGACGCAGCCAAAGAAATTCGTCTCGGAGCAGCGACGATGACGAAAATGCAGTTTGAAGAGCGTAAAATCGAACCGACGCGCGAACCAATTCTTATCGCGATCCTAATTCCGTGAGAAGCCGGAATGGCGAATTGACATTTTCGAGTACGCGATATCATCCCCTGACTATATCTCTCTCTACCGACGCTGTCGCCGCCGCCCTTGTAATCCTTATCCTTCATCGCGGTGGCGGCGGCGCCGGCGGCTCCTACCCTCTTGCTCCCATTCTCAGTCTGCTCGTTTTCTCTCCCTCACGATGATATTGATCCTCCTGCCGCGAGGCCCACCCACGAGCAGCAACGTTAGGCTGCCATTCGACCTAGTGTAGAAGCATAACGCGGATGAAGACGCGCGGAGACGATCAAAACCTCCGTTTTGCCCGAAGATCATGTCATTGGAAAATAAAAAAAATAAAATAATTCAATATAAAGCAATACTAAATAACTCGGATTCAGTCAGGATAACTTTGGCCTAAATTAAAAAAAAATACCTAAATAGCATGTCCAAAAATCAGATCACAAGACATCAGGTTATTTTTAAGATGTCTTATTTCCCGATTTAGATGATGTTTGCTGTTTGGGCGAATTTTGAATCGAAGTTACTTTGATTTCAGATAAGAATTATCCCACTTAACAGCTTTTTTTTTTTAAAGGGAGACATGTGTGACTGGTAAAAGATAATTTTGATTCTAGGCAGATCCGAGATTCTTGCTGAGAGACAGTAACGCGATATGTCGGGAAAGAGATAAATAAAGCGGGGTGCGCGGGAAGTCTCGTGTTGCACGCCGATCGCGAAACGCTCGCGTTATTGGCGGCAGGATAACGTGCCGGATAACGCACATTAATTTTCGGACGGATCGATACGACACGCGATAAGCCGCCGATGGTTTATCGTCCCTGGGATTTTCCGCGTGGCGAAACGGATCGAATTTATCTCGATGACGAATTTCCGATAACGCGTCAGCAACGCGTTATACCGACGAGATGGAGATTTTGGAAAAGTTCGAAAGTTTTTTTAAGTGAAGAGATAATATATCTTGTAGGAACTTAACGCTTTTATTAATAACAATTCAACATGGAATTTATTCTATTCGAAATGCCCGTATTATATAATGTTTCTTTTATAAATATTTATAAATAATACGATAATATATATGTATATATACGTCCCCAATCAAGGCCACCCTCAAGAAATTTAACACGTCGCAACCTTCAACTTGATGTCATGCTTTTTCACGATTAACTATCGATAGTATGAAAAGTTAACTTTTCAACGATGCAAGCGTCGCGATACGCCTGTATGTTTGCGCGTTTGTGCATGTGATTCTCTTTTGTGCAAAAATCTCGAGCGTGATAATGCTGATATTGTGTAGCTAGTTTTCTAATAGGTCGGTAACAAATGGCTTAAATTTTTTTTTTATTAGGCTCTACTTCCTTCTCTGCAATCGAAAAAAAAAGAGACGATCCACTGTGACAATCGACATCACGCACTTTCTCTCTCTCCCTCTTTCTTCCTCTCAGTTGGTCCCTGATGCTCTTCCCTATAACAATGCGCAGTTTCGCTTCCTCGCAGTTCTCTCTTCCCTCCCTCCTTCTTCTCTCACTCGCATGAAACGTACAAAATGGACAAATCAATGTAATTGATTTTTATCGAGATTTTCTCAAAGATTTTACAAAGGTATTGACGTGAGAATCAGCCTCTAATCTTCGTCTTGTCTTCCTTTCCCTCTTCTTTTTTTTAGATTATGTTTTATGGCCCCAATATTTTACAAGATAGTGTTACCCCACCCGATTGAAATTTAAAAAATGATGATTATTATTATTATCTTCTAATCCACTTGGCGCGGGACTTGCTAGTTTCTAGCGGAGTCGCGACAAGCGATAATAAAATCCGATTGGAAGTCTTCGTGCACACTTTCGGCGAACGGTCGAGGATGTGCTTTCTGCGTATGTATATATAAGCGCGGGATTCAATATATCTGTTTTACTCTTACATTATAACATTAATATTTCTTTCTGCCATGTATTGGATCATTTAAAAAGTAGCCGTGATTTTTTCATTCAAAAATTGAACAAAAAAACGCGGATATTTTTTAAATGATCTAATATTTGTTTTTTTTTAAACAGTACTTTTGATTAAACGAACCACAGATCGCTATTCCTTTTTTGTTATCTATGGAATGTATCGCTATTTGGAAGAATAATCGCAGATTCCTTTTCTCTCTTTCTTTCTTTTCTTCTTTCCCTCTCTTGTATAGCATCGAACTACATAGTGATTTTATTATACATTAACAGTTTCACATACACGAATGACACAAAGCACAAACTTTAGGATTTGTTCGTTTTCATGTTCTTAAAAATCTTCAAAATAAAGCACAAGATCAATGTTACCGTTTGATAAAATAAGAAAAAGAAAAGAACGGTGAATATTTCGACGATACACTCCGCGCAAATTCCCGAGAAATGATTGCCCCTTTAGAAAATACAAGTAGTTCGCCGCGTCGAAAATGGAATCTACCTCACCGTGATTATTTGTGTGCGGCTTCGACATAGCGCGACACAGCACATTCGATATTAAAACTTAATAAATATATTTACCAATTAACAAATGTGCCCTGTCGCTGATACATTCATTTTCACGTCTTTTACTACACGCTCCCTCTCAGTCGCGCATAATTTCTTTCATGCATGCATTTCCACCTGCATATTATCGACGTTAATCACTATTATCTCATTATAATATTTATCTATATATATTTTAAATTCCTTACTCTTACATACTTGGTTAAACTGTGCGGGTTTAACGCTTCGAATTTCTTCTAGATTTAATATCTATTTACAATGAAGGACCATTTTATTTTGTATTAGTGCTAACAATGTGCAGTTTAGGAAGAAGTTTTTTTCAATCCTTCTTTACTGTAAAAATTTCCAATGTACGGACCGATCATATGAGCGCGCGATTTTGCATCGCGCGTCACAAACTCATAAAATTGAATGTTTGATAATTGACTTGCTGTTAATTGTAAGTATGCCATTAATGGCATAATTAAATACACTACTTTCTAATCGTTACGTTACTTTATTTATCGTTACGTTATTTTCATAATAATGTAATAATATAACGATATATTATTACGCTATTGTGATATAATGATACAATATAATCGTTACATTGTTACATTATTATTCTTATAAAGTATTATAACGCCCGGCCAGGCTCGTCTGTCCAGAAATCTTGGACGTTTTGCAACGACGAGTTGGCGCAAGGTAACCAATTTTTGCGGCCGAATAGGTTCAGTCGAATAAACTCTAATCGTGGCCTCCTTATCAATATCAATATCTCTATCTACTTGCGTGAATTTTCAACGTGAAAAATCAAGAGAAAGGAGAATCGTCTTGCGGAATGCCCGTCGAAGTCATCGCAGTTGTCGAAGTCGTCGACGCGAGCACTCGGAAATTTATCGATCGTTCTCGATATAGCCAAGCGTGGGCGAACTTGAAAAAGAAAATAGGAACCGCGACCTCCTGGTTTTGTTTTGTTTTTTCTCAAAAGTGGATATCGTTGCCCAACGAGAAAACGATAGAACGATTTCCACGTACCTCTTGATATCCCACGCTACCACATCTCCAGGGCTAAACTCCCTCGCCCTTCGGTTATTACAAAATTAAATTTTACTAAAATGTGATTGCCTAAAAGAATAGTCGGCAGCCGCGGAAACGGTAACCGAGAATGCACTACGACCGGTTATATGACTTTGTCGCACCGGTGGGTAACTGTCGTCATTCGCAATTGTCAGTCATTGAATATAATAAAGTACCTGCATATCATCAATTTGCATCCGTTTTCTCAACATCGAGCTCAAAAAAGTCAGTTCGCTATCATAATATTATTATTTCCATCATACCTTTTAAAACTCTAATAAGATTGACTTGAATCAAACGTTCCGTTTATAGACAATGCTTTTTTTGTAATTAAAAATCGAAAATTCGAAAAAGGACATTCGATGTTCTCTTCCAAAAATGCACTGATGAGAAAATCGATTCGTTTGATACAATGAGGGAAAACACGATGGGAAGAAAGCAGATCAATACGCGGACGAAGTGAAATTTGTCGGTACCATTGCGCTAAGTATACACTTCAAGGGGTCGATCTCATTCGCTTGACATTGTAGTAAAATCGGCATATCGCCAAGCACCGACATCTAAACCGACCATACTGTAGATACGGTTCCATTACAGAATATCGAGATTAAAACCGGCCGTAGAGTCAAGAGAGTTAAGCAGTTCTTGGGCGCTAAAGTTCGACGTGTCTCCTGTAGGAAGGTTCTCCAAGAATTCGAGGGTAAAGTCAGGAGCCGTAACGGACGGATCCGTAGTGGTGGCCGGTGGTGGTGGCTGAGTGTGCTGCTGCGGTGGCGGTAGACTACGTACACCAGGGCTACCTGCACCATACTGTTGATGTGGATGCAGAGGAGAACCTAAACATACAATTCATTAAGTCTAATTAAATGTGTTGAACGTTGCTACAAATATTCATACAAATAAGTGGCATAAAGCGTAGAGCAGATAAGTCCCCGTTAGTAAAAATTTTATTATCTTCACTTGTAATTTTTTACGAGAGCGAAAAAACTTATTGAATAATTTTTTTTTCATTAAACACACTATCAAGAATTTTGTAATTAAGGCCTGATTGCTCCAATGTCATCAATATTATAATACTTTAACTTTAACGAGACTTAAAACTTTTTCCTTTTCTGTTTCTCTCGGCTTTAAAAAAAGAGAGAAAAAGAGAAAACCTCGCCTAAAGTTAAAGTAATATTGATGCAATCGGGCGTAAGAAAAATGTATTGTTTCGGTTAACAAAATTTTGTATAATGTAATGTATTTTGTATAATGTAATTTGTATAACGTGGTATGAGAAATATTCATTAAAATAGAATGTACTTGACTAATTTTGCAGCTAGAGGAAGGATTTTAACTGATTTTGGAACAAAACGTTCGTCATTTTTACTAAATATGACTGATGAATATAACTGCGTAGCAGTAGAAATTTGAGGATTTAACTTCTTTTCTCCTTACAATAGTAGAAATAATTTAACTTCTTTTGGAATTTCAATGTAATTTTTTTTTATATTTTTAGATACAGCTGCTTTTATATATAGACTACTCAGATAATTTCATGAGAAATTCCATTTAATTTGTATGATTAATAATGAGTACGCTCGAGCGTGTCGAAACATTTTTGTCTTTGCGATCACTACTCACCGGTCCCAGTAACGTTGACTGAATTTACAGACGTTGTCTGTGACATTTGCATCTGCAACGACATCTGATTGTTATTCTGCTGCATAGCCAGCGTTTGTTGTTGGTGCTGTTGCGTCAACAGCTGTTGCATCTGCGTGCTGTTGGACATCCCCGAACCAGCTATGCCGCCGTTTTGCGAACGAATTAACTGTTGATGTTGCATCTGCGCCGCAGTCATTTGCATTGTGTTACCCGCGCCACCCATGCCGAAAGCACCTGCGAAAAATGTGATTTAATAAAATCCCAATATCAATTCAAATAATTTTCACGAATAATAATAAGTAAGATTCGCGAGAAGTGCTTGATTCTCTATGAATACAATTTGCATTTGTGCGTTTATATCCAAACAAAACACAGCGACATACATGTTATTTCCGACGAAAACGAGGACATCATTCGAGAGAACAAACTTCAAATTAATGTGAAATAAGATAAATCTGACATCAACAACTGACTCACGATTCTTTCGATGAACACGATAATATATCCGGATGCTTTTCAGCAAGAGACAGACGATACAGTATAACATAATGAATCATTACATCCTTGTTGTTTGCGAGTCAAACCAAAAAATGAAATGATCACTATGTTACACTATGTTTCTTGCTAGAAAGCACATCATATCTGTTTCTCCTTCTTTCTCTTTCTTTCTTTCTCTCTCTCTCACACCTTGGTGACTTTGCTGGTTGAATTGCGAGCGCATTTGCGCTTGAAAGCCCTGCTGTTGTTGCATCAAAACCGCGTGTCGCCATTGGTCCTGCTGGGCGCCACGACCCGCGATGCTGTTTCCAAGACCGTCCGGAGGTCCAACGCTGACGTTGGGCGGCCGTTGATTGTTGGTTCTCGGGTAGCCTAGCCGTTGATGCATCTGATGCATATTGCCAATGGCAGCCATCCCGCCGCCGCCCATGTACATATTACCGCCGGCTGCGTGCAACGCCTGCTGCTGCTGTTGTTGCGCCATTTGCGGCCTCATCATCGGACCTGCGAAAAACATCCACACGTGCCGTAATGCGGGACATCGTCTAACGTTGCTACTACTGCTGCTACTTAAACTCGAAAGCGTAAACAAAGAATTTTGTGACGGTACGAACGCATTAAATTCCACCGAAATTATAAATCGCGATAACATCATGGTACGGATGGTTGAATTCGAGAACGCGACATTTTAAAGGAGAGGTAGAAAGTCTGTAGATTTTCTTCCGTTTGGATAGAATCTCGGGAAAACCGGGCGTCGATCCGATCGATAGGAGTCTTGTGGAGGCCAGGATATATAAGGATAGTTTCGACTCCCTCTCTCCATCACCTCACCACCTTTTGCCACTTCTGCCTCTCTTCCTCTTGGAATGAATCCAGCGGAACGTCAGCATCGCGTTTACGCTTGGTCGAATTCTTTCCACGCTGATATTCAACGTGGAAAGCTACCCGCGCCAAGATGTTGAACAACGATGAACATGAAATATCGAGCGCATGAAATATCTATTTACTACCACACAATGGATTTTGCGTGATATTGCTGTATTAATAGTATTTTTTTCGCGAAATTATCTGTTTTCGTATTGCTCCTTTACTTCAAAAGAAAGACAATTCAAAAAAATTAAGTATTATATTCCAAAATTTTTCTACTTGCCAGAAGATTAACGACTAATCAAATAATATAGCAGCAAAAAGAATATAGTTCTAATATCAAATGTCAGTTTCATTTCACAATCCTTTTTTTAAAGATCACCTTTTTTTTTAGTTGTCACAATTTCGATTATTTTTTATGAAGATAAGCTAGTGTGATTGATGATTGATAGGGTAATGTTTACCTAATTCATTTATGATGAATTGAACTTGAAAATCACGTTTTAGAGTTGTGTCACTTTTGAAGTAAGGAAGCGATCTATTAAAATTCAAACATTAAACTATAAGGTAAAAATGAAGAAACTATAACGGGCCGGTAAAATTTTTTTTGGAGTCTTACCCGACGGTGGCATAGGTTGTTGCGTAACTCTGCGCATGGGCCCAGTATTTGCAAATCTCGCTTGCTGACCCATACCGATACTAGCATGCATCATCTGTGCCTGGGCTGCGGCCTTGTATTCGGGCGGTGGTGGCCTTACGCTTCCCATTCCACCTGCCATATGCTGCTGCTGCTGCATCACCTGCAAAATTAGAAACATATAAATATCAGAAAAAAAAAAGCAACAAAGATATACAGGATGACAGAGGCAGAAGGCCTCCCCTAATCTTAACTGAATATTTCAGAAGAGATATATTAAAATCGTGTCATATATCTTCCTGCATTTCTAAAGTCGAAGGCAGACATATCGACATATAGTACTGGACGGAGCATTAGCATCGAAACCATCTTGTCAGACCTAGAAAGAGGTAGAGGGATTACAGGGGTAGTACTGGATCATGTAATCAAAGGCTCTGAGACATTAAGTTGATATATCTGTGCTCAGAGCGTTACTTTTACACAAAATAGTACGTAGAAACCATATTTCAAGTTTTATTTTGTATCTAATAATTAATAATGTAAGTTTAGAATTATCGTACTGCATTAGTACCAGTCAATGTGATAGCTCCTGACTTTGAAGAATACTGTCCTCCCTCTCCTGAAACATAATTCGATCGAATAGGACAAGAGTAGAAAGGGAGTTCCGTGCCCACTTAGTTACCTTACTCTTTCTAGGTCCGTCAAGACGAAAGATCAAAGAGATTTCGCCGCATGCTTCGTCCAGTACTATATGTCGATAGTATAGGCAGACACGTTCACGTGTCACCTTTTTGGTGACTCACTTTGAAAGGTAAGACTTCAAGTTCGAAATTGTATTCGACGCTGGTTTGAAAATCGACGTATACTGAAAATCGCAATGTGCAGTGTGTGATTTTAAGGTCGGCTCGTCGCGGTTTCCGCCGGTCTTTCGCGGAGCCTCGAGAAAGCGAGAGAGCAGAAGGGCGTTGCACGCCTAATCGCAGGTTGTTGCTCGGTCGAGAGTGGAAAGAGACGCCGGCCGGCGCGACGAACGAGAGGAGGTGAGCGGAGAAGAATGGTACGAGAGCGGGAGAGCGAAAGGGTGAACGTATCCGACAACGGCGGCGGCGGCGGCGAGAAAAGCGAGACGGGAGGCGAGCTGCATCCTGGCCGCTACGCCGATTCTAGCATCGCGGTTGCCGCCGCCACCGCTTTGTATTGTCGTGCGTTTTCCTCGCCCTGGACTTTCCTCGCAGCCGCGTAATACCAGGAAGCGGTAGACGCAAACTCGGACATTCTTGCACAGCGAGATCGCCGCACCGTCATCATCTATCCTGGTAAATCGTGCACAACGACGCATTTAACATCGATCACGATAAGTCACCCGATTGTTCGAAGGAGAAGAAAATACACTTCTACATGGAAAGAACGGTTTTGCTGAAATATTAAAAAATTTCGCTAGGTATACAGATCTAAAAATAATTTTGTTTAGACCAAAATGATTATGTAAGACGTTTAAATTGGTTTACTGGAATGCTGAAACTTCTTATAGTATTGTCATCAACGTTTAGTCGTTCTACATAATTTTGTGTGTGTGTTAATGATCCGACAAAATTATTTTTAGATCTATATCTAACTAAATTTTTAAACACTTCAGCAAAACTCGGAGAGTTTTTTTGGAAGTGAGTAAAATAATATCAGCTCTGCTGAACAGTCAGATAATTTTAATTTTAATTTGTTTCGTTCTGATTTATATTGAATTCGAATTTTCAATTTGCAATCTCCAACGCGTAACGTGACACGGGGCTTAAGATAATTGTGGAAGTTTTAAAAATAATTTGTTTTCTTATTCTTTTCGTCATCGATTCTGTTCATGCGAATTTCGTAATTTTGCAAAAAGTTACCGAAATATTTTATCATCTCGATTCGCACTTCGATAATGTACAACGAGAATAGGAATGGGTTTCTGCAACGAGAGCCCTGGCAATTCCTAGAACTCATAGACACGTTGCACGATGATGCTCCTGTTGTTCTGTGCACGTTAACTATCCTAATGGATCGGAATGGATACGGGGCCGATCATCCCGTTAATTCCAATATCATCGCTAATCTAGATCGCGGGATCGCTACATCTTGCGTATAAGTGCGGAAAGAGAGCAGATCCGCAAATGCAATAAAGATATCAGTTTCTATCATTTCTGGCGCTTTTTGTTTTGCCTAGAAAATATCAGTTTCAACTCTCTTATTCATAACTTTGTGTGCGCTTACGAAACATTAGTAGAATCTAATTGTAAATAATTACTTCAAGAAAACAAATATAATTTTCATTGTAATTCGATAAATATTACAACATATCGCGCATTTGCTATAACAATATAATTAAATTATTATCACTTTTTAGTTGCTTGTAGAAAAAGATTAAAAATGTAAAGAAAAGAGAGAAAATATGTACTTTAATAGAATATACTTTTATATTTCTTTACAATCAATTATTATAACAAAATTATATATATATATATATTTTTTTTTTTTGAAATTAATATATAATAACAAATTTTAATAATTTAAAACAATGAATTTTTATTTTCTGGAAAATTTTGTTTTCTGAGCTGTGTCGTTGTTGTAGCAAATGAGCGATATGCAGAAGTATACTGATAAGAGCTGTGGTTCAAGGTAAAGCGATTCAAGAATCAGTCGAAAGAATTATGTTTCTTCAATTCATTGAGACCGTTCTATCTATTATTAATCAATTACATGTGTACATATGCAAAAATGTGTTTTGAAAGAAAGCAATCGATTCGCGCATACTAATATTGGCCGAGCACTCCTCACCCGGGATAAAATCATTGGGTTGGCTGCGCGTCGTTCTGGATGATGCACCGTTTTATCGCCTCAAGCTTATCCCTGACTGAACAGGATGACTAACCAATTGCATGAAACGTACAATTAGTAACTGGAGCACGAGCATCGTCGTCTTTGGTACCTTAGTATTATCGAGATAACAATCGGAACGTTGCGGACTGAGTCATTCGCCGATGCGACCACGCAAACTCTACGAGATCTCGACGAGTAGCTCCGTGTACGCAATTTTGCAATTGCCAGTGTTGCATTTAGATAAAAAATTATGTAGATAAGGATAAGATAAATTACGCATAAACCTATCTTAGATGAGATAACTTTATTTTAAATTTATCTAGATAAAAGATGGAATTATAAAGCGTTTCATCTATATAATTTTAAGATAATATCACTTTTTAGCAAAACAATTTAGAATATACATATAATTGTAAGTCTAATTTAAAAAAATGTAAGGATTTATACGATAAATGAAAAGAAAAAAAAAATATATATACATATCCATATTTTCATTTATCGTATAAATCTTTACATTTTTTAAAATTAGACTTACAATTATTACATTTGACAAATGATTTCTTGTATAAAAGAGGAGAATGGGAGAAATGCAGCATACCTAAGGAAAAATAGAATATTTAGGAAAAATGTTTTAAATGCAATAAAGGATAAAATTAAAGCTGAATATCTCGTCTATCATATATGATAGATTTAATAATATTTTCACCGCGTAATACATAAAATTATTTTATTTTAGAAAAAATTTATATGCATCATATTACTCCATCATATAATGCAGCACATTACAGTTTTTATATTAAAAGATTATTAATACCATTTTCTGATTCTGTGTTAAATTTTGTTCATTAGTATGTCATAAAAAAACTCATTTTGAGAGCATAATCCCATAAAGCTTATTATGTAAAGCAAAAAAACACTGACCTGACCTCAAAACATAATTTAAAAATTTTTATTTTCATCTTATTATTTCCCAAACGTGAACGTGTCTGATGACTGAATATTATGAATATGTAAATAAACTATTATAAATATAAAAAAGTATAAGATTCGAAAAATTAAAAATTTAGCTTTGTAATAATATATTAATATCATAAAAAAATTGTTTTAAAGAAACAAAATAATATAGATTTATTTGAGGTGCAAATCTCACAAAAAAAAGTATATCAATTTAACTTTAGTGGATGAAAATAAAAAAATTTTGATATATGGATAAAAATAAAAATCTTATTATAATTCTTTAGATTTTGATTTTTAAATATAAAAATACTTCAATACTGAATCTTTTTTTTAAATTAGATGATAACGTTGATACACATCAAGCTAATGTTCAGAATTATAAATTTGGGACAGTATTGATCTAACAATATTAAACAATATTAAACATAAATATTGTTAAATTCATAAAAAGAGATGTTTAAAAATCTTATACTGGGAAGTTAATACTAAACTCACTATACATTAAGATAATTTGAAAAAGATAACACTTCGTTTATCTAAAATAAAGGTGGAGATAATTCTAGATAATATTTTAATAATTATATCAATAATGATAAAGTCATTTCTTCACCTAGAAAATTATCTAGATAATTTTATATAAATAACAGCAAATACTGACAATTGCTAAATTAACGACACATTGTCTAATCGCACAATGACCGTTTCATTGTGATTCTTGCAATAACCAACAAAGATGAATTAAATCGCTCGATATGAGCGCAACAAAAAATTACTCATCTAATTTAAATCAATTTAAAAGTTTAAGCCTGATTCCCTATTATACCAAATCCTGGATGTACTTTGATCGAAGAGTTCGATTGAAAGTTTTCACGATGGAGCATTAAAGAGTCGTTAAAAAAAAGTCTTCTATCAAATTCTCTTTAAGAAAAGATAATCCCCAATTTCCTCGTTAGAAAATATTTAAATGAAAGAAAAAAAAAAAGAATGCTTGCAATTAGAGAAAAAGATACAGTAGCGCCAAAATACAGATAAGTGTTATATACAACATATACAGTGTTATATATTAAATTAATATACATAGTTGAGTAAACTATTTCGCAATTATTATATATTCGATAAAACAGTTTATTCGACTACGTACATTAATTCTACATAAAAAACATTCATATAAAACTAGTATAGTTGTCACCTTTACCACTATGTTTTTCTCCAAGTGTGAAGAGACCGACAAATTACATCGTCGCTTGCTGCGATATTCTTTGCGTGCGGAATAAGCGTGCTAAATTATACGTTTAACGTCGTCAAGAGTTTGTCGCCTTTAATACCGATGAGGCGATGAGGAACCATCACGAACAAAAGCGTACGTATCGACGACGCTTAATCTCGCGTGAAGTAATCGCTGAGAACGCTAATTTGCCGATCCCGCTTCCCTCGATATCACAGGTTCTCCCGCAGGAAACTGTGGTGCGGCGCAAAAACTTTTTCGTCCATTGTTCCCGTCTCGGAGAAAGCCCCGTGTCCCCCGTCGCGCTCGCGCTATTTGTCCTATTTGTGTCGTTTCTTTCAACACGACGGGGCAGAAGTTGCAAAAGACCTAGTAGCGGTACCTGTTGCATACGGACGTCGCGGGCTCTTTCTCATATCTCTCTCTTTCTCCTTCTCTTCCACTCTCGCCGGATACGAGCTTAATGTCTCGGATAATGTACCATCGCGCCGCGATCTCGCGATTATCTACCTGCACAGACGATCGTCACAGCGAAAGCTTTCACCCCCGGAGGACCATATCGGTTATCGGTGTAACCGCTCGAAATCGCGATTCTCGAGCGCGAACGATATCATCGGGGTGTACGAAGGTGTGAAAACGCATGGAAGACGATAATAATCGCATAAAGATAAACGTTGCACGTGTGATTGTTACTACGACGCACAGCAATTCGATGCGAATGAGAACTGAACGTGTAATTTACGTACTTATCATGAAAATAATTTCGTGTCTACGATGCATATAAAAATCCGGATGGACGTCATTCGCATCGATTGCGAAATTGCTCAGACAGCGACACGTGTCACATATAGCACACAAGCTTGCAGCAATGTTTGTGTATTGCGATATTGTTGCAATGTTGCTAGAATAGTTTGTGCAGGGAAACGAGAGGTCCGAGTACGAGAACTCCTCAACAAGGTACGCAAATTTATCGGAGTGAAGACAATCAAATGAAGGTTGCTTACCTGTTGCGCGCGCATCAATTGCTGCTGCTGTTGAAGAAGCTTCGCGTGCTGGTGCTGATCGACCTGGCCCGGCGGCACCTGCTGCGGATGACCTCGAGTTCCTGGACCGGCAGCACCCGGCTGCGGCATTCCGCCGGCGGCCGCGGCCGTCGCCCGCTGCCTTAGGCTCTGCTGAGTGAAATTGATGGTTTGGGACTGCGAGACCGAGCAGTAGGCGTCGGCCTGATTAGCCGATGGCCCGGCCTGATTCTGCGTCTGCTGCTGGTTGAAGTACATGCCCTGCTGCGCCGCGACAGACACGACCGGTTTCAGCTCGCTCGTGACCTGTAAATGCTGCCCCGCCGACACCTGCAACAAAACAAAACCATATTTCGCATCGTAGTTCGTCTACCTCTCGCAGAGATCATGGGAATCAAGCTCGCGTTAGTAATGCTCGAATAAGAGATTGGCCATTGTCCTGAAGAATCAATTACGCGAAGAATTTTGTTATGGGATCGTTATTCATTTTCATAGAACAGTTGAACTGTGAATCATTCAGAAAAGAAACTCGTACAGAATTGAGAGGAGTATATAGCGTCTAGTGCTAAGTAAATATAACAGTGAAATTGGCATTTAACACGGTGAGTTTTTCGTGCGCGATCCTTTTTTACGATGTGCGATGTGGTGCGTACATTTCGATGGTGTAGGCACTAATAACAAGTTGTCTGTTTAAATTGGTTTTAAACACGGGATTCGTCTGTCGAACGGGACATGTTGAAGTTAATCTCTGCTTCTTTAGGCACTTTAACAACACACGTGATTACACAGTGGCTAATTTGCTAATTGCATGCAGTCAGGACGTGGTAAAAAAATGTTATGAAGAGTATAAAACGCTACAGAATACACGAATTACACACTCACTCACCCAGTAATCATCTTGCTATCAACATTTTTTTTTCTCTTATTTTCTTTTCATTGTACCGCCTATTTTGTCGCCACGCGTGGCTTTCCAAACTTTTAGAGACATTTTGAATTTAAGATCATCACATTTTGAATTTAAGATACACACAAATCTAAAAACTTAACCTTCCATGTTAAACTTTAAAGGTACAGCCAATATTTTGAATTCTGATAGAAATCTGTGTGAAAAAAAATAGAGTTTAACTTCTTGATAGTGAAAACGTTAAACTTTTTATCAGTAAGGATTTTTTCAGATTTTTATAAAGTCTGTATTAAAATTCGAAGATCCAGATTGTAGACGGAAAGTAACATTGACGAAGGGTTAAGATTAATACTTTGATTGCGTGAATTTTAATAGATAGATTTAAATCTGCAAAAAGTAAATGAAATACAATTCAACCTCTATAATAGTAAAAACTCGTTATTAAAGTTACCGCAAGTATTTTTTCAAATTTTTATACAATTCGAAACATAAATCTACACCAAAGCTCGAAGACCCAAGTTGCTGACGCAAAGTGCAAGATTCCATAATGATTAATGAAGAATTAACGATTAAAGATTCTGAATTTAGGTTTCATTTCAGGTTATTTCCGTTATTATACAGGTATTCGCAGTGACGGAAATGATGCCTTTCGACGGCGACAGGATATTATCGCCGGGTGGACCGAAATTTCTGGAAAAGAGGCAGCTGACAACAACAAACGGTGACTATCGTCCCGCTGTCGTCGGGGACATATCACTGGCGATGATACGAAATAGTCATTCCTCTATATTTCATACCGCGTGACGAAAGAGGAGCGAAGAGAGAAGTGGTCGAAGGATAAGCCACTACTGTATCCCGCGGGCGACCCTTCGATCCTGCAGGCTATCAAACCCTCGTAATCTAGTTGCGACTTTGTATCCCCGATACACATGTACGTATACACATATCTGAACCCTGTGAGACCTTAAACATCGTCAAATTGCGTATCGCGTCGCGTACGTAGCTCGCTACCGCGCATTTTTATCAAAATTGCACATTCCAGCATCGATCGACTATCCAGTTTTTTCAGCTTGTGAAAAAAAAAAATACATTCTTCTTAAACGCAGGTAAAGCGTGTATAAGATGATACAGGTTGCATACAATTGCGATACTTAAATATACATGTAGAACCAGTGGAACACAGACGATGACAGACACTTATGCAAATGCATAGGTGTGGAGTCGTCTTCTGCGCTGATAACTGTTCAGTTTACTAAAATTGTCGAGATACATATGACGTACATACGTATATATAAGTATATATGTATACATACAAGTATATATAAGTGTATAAGCAGCATGTAGACGTTGTGAGCAGCGAAGAGCCGCACACAAGACCGTCTACCGATACACCGGGATAATTATACACGCAGTCAAGGATTGGTATTTAGTATTACAACAGGCGTAATTTCGCTGTACGTACTATACATATATACGTGTATATACTGTACGCATACATATTGTAGATGCTATGTACAGCTACATTTACACGTATGAGGGAATTATCACGTCTATCCGCTGGATGCGTATCCGTGTACACGTGTATTTCGCACGATAAGCAGCCATAATATATATAGACACAATATACAATATTCCAGGTACCCATCAATCCCTTTGTCGAAGTTGTGATTGGAGTATTTATTATAACAATCAAAATATCTAACACAAATAAGCGAATAAGTGAAGACTTTACTCGATCAAATGAGACATCTACCTCATTCTATCTCAAGCAGGTCCTGAAACATGACGATTCAAATGAGTAGTCCAATCTCTCATGTCTATTTTCACAATATACGGTTTACCTAAAGAGTAAAAGTCACAATAAAATTCATTCATGAATTTCTTTAGGTAAACACACAATGTGATTCATGAATTTCCTTAGGTAAATCATATACTGTAGTAACGGGTCTTACGTGAGGATTTCTATGGACTGAAACATGTCTGCGATAACATGATAATGTCGAGACATCGCGTATCCCGATAGAGCGTACAGAGATACGTGAGTATCTCCGGTAGGAGAAACCTTGGCCATCGGTCGTGCATAATTAGCCTAAATCACGGGTAGCGTCTCGCCAAGGGGGTGGCTCCTGGATACGACATCCGCATAGCACGTGTCTTGTCACTGCGACCGCGACACCTCGCCAAGGGCTCGGAGAGAGGCAGTTTAGCAGGTTCTCCTGTGTTTCCATGGGTGTCGTGAAGTAAGGTGGGGTACGCGAGGCGCCTCGTCGAGCATACTAATGAACGCTGACACGCGGGGCGCGTGACGCTCTTTCCTGACACTTGGGAGTTAAAGACTTTTACTCTAATAAAACCGTCGTCCGTGCGCGTTTTATCGATCGAAACCGTCGCGCAATTGGAACTCCCTTCACTTCCCTCTCCGCTTCGAGCTCGAGCTTCGACAGGAGGGAGGAAGTCTCGCGAAGTAAAGAACGACTTCCTTTTCGATTTGTATTCGAGCGTGTATTTCGTTTGAAATCCTTCCGGTGTCGGGGGTTCGTACTAGTGAAAGCACGAAGAAGTAAATCGAAGATGCCGATATTATACAGCGCAAAATGATTCATTTTTAATGGAGCAGATAAGACAAACCGTTTTGAAAAGTCGATATTACACTGGGACTCTTGGAATGCCAACCCTGCTGGCTCCTGCAATTAAGCCTAGTTAATGATGTGACCGTCATTAACGAGTAATTCGCAGAAGCCAATAAACCGAAGGAGCCCGTAAACTGGAATACCTAGATTCGATCGATTTATTACGCTCGGGCATACCGTTTCTATATAATATATACGGGAGATATATAAATATTTTAATTGTAATTTGTATTCTGAACATATTTATAGCTTTTTCATTTGATTGGATCAATTTTTATTGTTTTTTTTTGTGTAAGATATTTTTAACTTCTCTACTAATTTTCTAATTGTTTAACACGAGTTTTGCTTCAATACCTTTAAAAAAGATCGCCAATATTTAAAAATCGACTTAAATTCTTGGCTCTATCAAATTCATATCTCTGAGAATAAACAAGATTCTGTTAAGAGTCTACTAGATTTATTAATTATTCGATGGATTTTTTGCATATACATTACATATTCTCTCTCTTTTCCAATAATATCAAATCTAACTTTAATCCATTATATTATATCTTCAATTACTTTTTTGTTATATCTTCTTACTACATATCGTATCTTCAATCAATGTTATTAATCGATTAGTTGTTACGGTCACTGAACTGATTTACGTTGCGTTCAAAAATATTATCAGAGCGTCTCTGAGTTTCATTTTATCCTTGTTATTCATCGAAAATTAAATAAGGATAAAATGATACTCGGAGGTACTCGGATAATGTTTTTGAACGCGTCCTTAAGAGGATGCTGGAACGACAGTTAAATTTAATTGATGATAATACACTTTTTAACTCCAAATTCAGTTTCTTGCATTACCATTCTATCTCATTGAAACATCTATCCTTATCTAACATAATGCAATGCTATCTCTTGCAGGATCCGGTATCTACTGCTAGATATATATTATAATTACTGCTGTTTTCCGATTTCACTCGTAGCATACAAATGAAATTTTCAGATCTCCTTCCTCTTATATTATACTAAAGCTCTTACTTCATTTCTACAAGCGTAATGTTGTTTTTTCATGTCATCTCTATAAATGCAATATCAAATTAAACGAATAATTAGATAATTTCGAGGGATGTGCAACTCCTGTCTACGCATTTTTATGAAGCTCTATTAATACCCTATTAACTTCCTCACATCTCGGACTTCTGACAGGGCGTGTGATTGTTCTTCCTGTCTACTTGCTTCTCTCATCTTTTGCCTCAGTTGTCACGCGATGCTAAAGAAGAGTATACGTTTATCTCGTGAACTGATTACATCTGTAATTAAATATCCCCTCATATATAGAATGAAAGAACTATTCTATTTCATCATCCAGCGTTTAATTGATGATTTTATTTGAAATCAGACGAAATTTAACTTTTATTAGACACTGAGAATAATATTATATCATTATAAGTTATAACAGTATACATCCCAGAACACGCAAAGAAAAGATGATTTGACAGATTTGCTGCATACTTTACTGATGATAAGAAATTACGAAAGTTCTATATTATTAATTAATAATTAGTAGTTTTACAAAAAAAAAAATTAGTATCCACATGAAACTTTGTTTTGTCGATAATTGATAAATATTAAGGTAAATCTAATAAAATAACGAAGCTTCGAAAATGTAGACATTATGCCTTACTTTTGATGGTAGAAAGATAAAGATGAAAATGTGATTGTACCTGCGACATTTGAAATGAACATTTTTTTTTTTTCCGCAATAATTTGCACTTGAATTATGTTTTATCTTAACACAAGCTATTTAA